ACAGAGTGAGACTCCAATTAAAAAAAAACAAAAAACCTTTGGTTTAGAAGTATCTTCTTAGACCTTTATTATAAGCAAAGAATAAAAATTGAAACAATAAAATATTATTTTTAGCCTGACACATGACAGAGACTTTTGGAAATCATAATATTCTGTGCAGGTAAGAATACAGAGAAAATGGCTACTTATACACTATTGATAAAACTGCAAGTTAGTGTAACATTTTAGAAAACAATTTGGTATTACATAATAAAAGTCATAAAATATTTATATCTTGACTTCTGGAATAATAGTAGCCTAAAAACTGACTTACAAATCTCTATCTCTCCCAAAACTAACTAAAAAGACTTTAAAATAAGAGCTAGATATAGTGGGAGGATTGGATGAGCCCTGAAATCTGAGACCAGCTTGGGCAACATAATGAGACCCTGTCACTTGAAAAAAAAAAAGAAAGAAAACAAGGACAAAGACCTCAATAAAACCAAAATGACAGCCAGGCTTAGTGGCTCAGCCTGTAATCCCAGCATTTTGGGAGGCCAAGGTGAGTGGATTGCCTGAGCCTGTGGGCTTGAGACCAACCTGGGAAACTTGGCGAGACCTCATCTCTACAATAAATTTAAAAAATTAGCCAGGTGTGGTGGCGCGCTCCTGTAGTTCTGGCTACTTGGAAGGCTTAGGTAGAAGGATCGCTGGAGCCCGGCAAGTCAACGCTGAGGTGGCCGTGAGTGTGCCAATGCACTCTAGCCTGGGCAACTGAGTGAGACTCCAACTCAAGAAAAAAGCAAAATGGGAGATTGATGCCACTAGTTTGGTCTAAATGGAAAGAAGCCAGGAGCCAAATCACAGCTCCCCTTTCAACAGAGCAGAGTAGTGTTTTGGCAACAAGTATGTGGTTTCCAGTTCATCCCCATTAATTTCCCTTAATTTCAAGGAAGAGGCATGGTGGCTTGGGCGAGATCACCACAGATCAACAGCTTTCAAAGACCTAAACCACAGACTGGAAGAAAACGTGATAGCCACATCTTTCTGTTTTTGTCTGACCTGGTTCCTAGAGCTTTAGTGTCAGGGCAAAACTGGTCTTCAGGTTCCAGATGTTCGGGCAAGGGCAGAGAGTGAAAGCCATGCGAGAAGCAGAAGGGATGTAAAATTATGTTTAAAAATTATGTATAAAATTAAGAAATTCTACTGAGAAACATAAAACATGACTGTGTAGAGAAACATTTGTCTCTCAATTATTCTTAATGTGTTAATTTAATTAAATGTTAATATAATCCTAATGGCTTTGAAATGAATTATGGAGGGAGGAGGCCTGACCAAATGATCATTAGGTTCATCTGGATGAACAAACATCAGAAAAGAGCCAGGAAGAAACTCAAAAGGAAGCGTACAAACTAGGGCTGAACTTTTGTGGGTCAGTGTCAATATTCTAAGGGAAAATTATTTTCAGCCTAGAATTCTCTATCCAGATTGTTAACCAAGTGTGATGGTAGAAAAGGAAATTTGTATATATGAATGCATCTAAAAAATCTATCTCCCAAGCCGGGCTCAGTGGCTTAGCCTGTAATCCCGTGCTTTGGGAGGCTGAGGTGAGTGGATTGCCTGAGCCCACGGGTT